GCTCCTGCCCCAACTAAGTGGTCTGCAAGTAGCTTTAGTTTTATGGCTATAGAATATTTCATCCTGATTTGCAGTCTGGTAATTCATTTTCTAAGGACTGTTTAGAATTTATTCAGGGAGAAAGGAAACTCTGTTGGTTTCTCTAACCGATTCCCATTATATGACAAAATTTAACTTTTGTGTTTTATGAGGTTTTATGTGTTCCACTAAAACCATTAGCTAGTTGTCTCCTCATGATAAAATTTAATCACTTATATAATACCTTAAAAGCCATGACAGTTTTGGACCTATTTAAGTTTTCTTTCATTTAAAATATGTGGCTGTTATTTTAACACACACACACACACACACACACACACACACACACACATACACACAGCTCTTGGGGCAGCAGGGTGGGAATCAGGGGTTGGCACTAAGAACAAAAAATCTGTCACTGTTGAGCCTTTGTAATCTGCACAACAGGAATGGAGAACTTCCCACAGAAGCTGCTTTGGACTGGAGAAATGTGTGGGTGCTAATCCAAGGACCCCACTCATATTACAGCTGTGGACTGAGTGCACCCAAGCTCTGAATTTTGCTTCAGTTCCACAAAACCTACTTGACTGCTATGAGATATTGCAAATTTAACAAGAATTTCAACAATAACAATGAGAAAGAGGCCTAAAGGACATGCATGTACATCTTGTAAAAAGTTGGGTAGAAACTATTCACATTAACCTGTGCTTAGAAGTCTAGGTGCTCTCACAATCCACCACCAAGGAACATGGCCCACTTTGGGTGGTTACTAAGGACTAGAAGAAAAGTGATCCCACTTCCATCTACATATTTCCAATCATGGCATTTCATAATCACACCTATTTATTTTAGAGTTCATAAATTGCATTATTAATGTGTAGGTCTATTATTAGATTCATTGGAGCTAATGATTTGAAAATAAATAGCACTATTCTTCCTAGGTCCAAGGCCATTTTCCTGAATGGCCTAATTTATTTTCTCTGTATGCTTTAAGTAGGAAGTAGGAAAAGGGTAAAGGTCATTCAATCCCTTTTTGCTCAGAAGGATAGTCTTGCCCCACAGACCAGAGACAATAAACTAAAGGCTCTATGTCTTCTAATTATAATGGATAACTGAGTTTGGCTAGATCTTTAATTGTTAGGAGTCAGGTAAAATGTATATGTCGTTCCTCATGACACTTTTAGCAACTAGAATAGTAGCTGACATAAATACTCGGGGTATGAATGAATAAAGAGATGGATCCATCAATCATTCAGTCATTAAGAACTTCTGAGATAATTCTACAAACAAGGGTAGTACAAGTAAAAGCAGGACTATCGCCGAATGTGAAGGTGGATATATCCCTCCTCCTAGAATCATCTTTGTTCTTATGTACATGTACGGCTTCAAATATGCTACCGTAAGTAATAGCTTCAGAGAAATAGGGCTCGTCAGCAGCCCCACTCCAAAAACGTCCCAGCCTTTACAGGGATGCAGAAACATATATATACAGAAACACATGTCAGGGATGAAAAAGCCGCTGGAAGAGAGAGACAGTTTTACAATGATGTTGATGAAGTTAGCTACAAAGGCCCTGAGAAAGGCATGGGGTTCCATGGTCTTGCATGTTTTTGAATTTTTGCAGAGATAAGCTGTTTGTGTGTTCTATTTTTTGTAAAGCACCGTGCCTGGCATTGTGCAAATTTCAGGACCCCTACATCCCCAATGTCACCCTGGCAGTGGTAGGAAATGTATGCTAAAATCTCAGGCATACAATGGCTTTCCTGCTGTACACAGGACAGTACATACTTCTCCTCCTCATGGTCATTCAGAGACCCAGTTATCACTCATGTTTTGAGAGTGGGTCTACCAGTTTTGTGTTGGCAGCAAGCCAAAAATCATGAAATAAACCCTCATATTGTCTAAATAATTTTACCAGAAATTAAATTTCATCCCTTCTCTTCCAAATCTATTGTCCAGAGTGAGAGTGGATCAAAGTAAGGACAGGGGAGGCTGTAGAAATTTCTGTGTGCCCAAGAGGGAAAAGACAATGATGTGGGAAGCAACTCATCTTATCACCTCTAGCTTCCAAAGTAGCTCTCTGGCACTATTCTACACAAATGTACCTAAAGTGAGCTAGCTGGCCCGCCAAGATGATCAAGAGCATCAGAGTATCAGCTCCTCATTTTCAATGTACCGACTTCAGGAAGATATGCTCTGTGTTAGAAAACTCCACGGAGAAGACCAGGCAGTGAGAGGAGGGGATGACCAAGTCTGGGTGTTACCAGGGCCAGGTCACTGATCCAGAGGATTCCAAGGTACTTGGAGGCTGAAGTTGTTTTATTTCCGTGAGCCGTCAAACTCTTTAAAAATCAGCTCCCTCCAAATCCAATTTCTGCTTGGTTTCCAACCTTCTTGCCACACTACTTCTCCAAACTGTAGCCATGCAGAACAAGTGAGGTTCCCCAAGTCAGCCCTTGGCCTGAACCCCCACCTCCTACACCGAAAGCTCTTTGTTTTCTTCTCTAGCTGCCAACTCTTTCTTCAAGTCAACATTCAAATACAGCCTCATGCAGGATGTAAGCCCACCTTAGAGTTCTTGGCTATAACAATCAGGTTTGGTCCTTCTGCTGTCTTCCTGTTAGCCTCCTCACTTTGCAAGCCCATGCATTGATGTTTGCATCTGAACGCATGAAGAAATGGTGACAAGGAAACTGGCTCTAATGTGAAATATTAGATTGCTAATGAAGTTCTGATGCAGATGACCTGAAACATAAAGGGGCAAATAATTGCAGGTGACTCCAAAATTTAAAAGTGGGGAGATGATCTTTTTTTTTTTTTTGGTGTGGCAGAGATTGCTCACTCAGAAACATATGACTACATCTCTCTGCAGATCCAAGTGTTGTAATTTTCAATTTGCTGTTTAGTAAAGGCGTTTTCATAATTGGGATGAAGTGAGAAAACTCAGTACTCACTGCCCTTAAAAGTCACCTTTCCACCTGGGCAGTGCAATGGTCCAGGCTTTCAAAGGTGTCTGAATGACTTTTCCCCAGAGGGACCAAGCAGAAAGGGGATGTGCTTTGTAACACTGCAGGGTTACTGACCTTCCATTGTAGCCAATCTGCAAATGTCACAGCCATGAGCATCTCTAAAGAGACAGCTACTGTTTAAAAACAGATGTTTAAAATAGAGGGCCTTGAGAGCTGCCCTCTCCCCAGATACACTTGCCTGCAATTCTGAAAAGCACTAAGTACAAAACATGAATCATGCCCCTATCCTCTTTCCTCTTGAAGAGTAAAAACAGAATGCAGAATGTGCTTTCACCTTTGTTTCCCAGCTTAAGACTGAAGAGTGAATCTCCAAGAAAAAAATCCTAGAACAAGAGAAGAAGAAATGGCCTAACACTGGGGAAAAAAGAAAGCAAGTGGATGTACTGATGCCACAAGTGGAGGTGGTGCCAGCGATCCCGAGAGTCTGAATGTGGGGGGTGGGGTTCCATGGGCTGATTGGACTTGATCCATTTGACAGATGGAAAACTCGTCATCATCCTCGCAGTTACAACTCTGATTAACTATTGGTAAGCAGAGGCATGTTCCCAAAGGAACAGACTTGGAGTTCTGTGTTGGAGGGACCCACAGGGCCGTGGGTTGTCAGTCACCATTCCCAATGCAGGTGAGTTATGAGGAATATTTACTCATCTGAAAGTTTATCTAATTTTTTTAATTCATCCAACAAATAAGTTTAGATGTCACATTGCAGCAGACCGCTAAGGATGCAGCTTGTGGGGACACATAAGCACAACAGTGAGTTCCCAGACAGGCGATTAAAACAGAATGGAGTGCGTGACAGGGCTCAGAGCTAGGATGCTCAGTGCATCAAAATCCTAGAATCGTAGGATGAAGGAGGTCCTCACAGATCTATGATGGTTTGGGTGAGAACCAACATTTAGAGATGAGTGAAAATCATTACATCAACCAAGCAATCATCAAAAATAGGTTTTATTCACTGGGGTTTTAGGCTGCAGGGCCAGGATAGGAGGCCATAGTGGGAAATTGCTCTGAACCTGGAAATGTTCTCTTCTGCTCTAAGTATGCCTTTGCAGAGGAGCCTGGGTCTTGCCCAGTTGGGAAAAGGGAGGCTTTCCCTGCTCCCAGCATGGATGGAGATGGGGATGGCAAATGGACTCTCTTCACTTGTGATATGGCAAATGTATTTCCCAGGAGAGAAAGTTAATAAGAGAGAATCATTAAGATGCAAATCCTCTCTGAGGAGGAAACAAATGAATGCGGGATAAATGCCTAACACAGAGCCATTTCTGCAATGCAGGAGGAGTACGGGCAGGAGAAGGAGGAGAGGCAGGTAGGGAATGTGGGTTCTGTCCTGCTGTGCAGTGCAGACCACATCAACACCTCACCTATACTGGATAGCTGAGTCAGAAGTATCACCTTACGGCAGGCATTTGGCCAGCTTCTACAAAAGCCATATAATAAATATTTACAAGAACAAAAGCTAATGACATATACATAAGAAACCAATCATTTTCAGGCTAACTTTAAAAAGACATTTTTTAAAATGACATTTTAAAAATGACATTTTAAAAACAAGAAAGAAGGCAAAACTACATGGACAACCTGATTCCTCCCAACTGCAGGCACTAGGGACTGATTTCAAGATGCCTAGGGCACTAATCTGTGAATGTTTTAAGGCCCTTGTCTACAATTCACAGTGCTGCCCACACCCTCATTCATAGCCCCCTGTGTTCCTTATGACATCTCTAAATTATTGATAGTGCAGAATGAATGCTGGGTAAATAGTAATTTTTTAGAGAAAAATAGCAAAAGAAAAATCTGCTCACGTGGATGTTTTTCCAAACATTCTCAATGCACAGTTGTCTGGAGGTGAAGATATGGAGGGCTGATGCCCTCAACTCTCCTGTTGTGACCTGAAGCAGCCATGGACAGGCTGTGAAAGGATGAGCAAGATAATTCTCATGAGATACTTACAACCATGAGAGATGACTCCAGAGCCACATTCCAGACCTCTGCCTTGGATGGGCACTGTCTGTGTCCCCAGGACCAGCGGCATCAGTATCGCCTGGGAACTAACACTGTAAATCACCAGTCCCACTCTGATGCTTCTAGAGCAGAAACACAGACGTGGCAGTCAGAGTCTTTTATTTATTTTCAGCGAGAGAACCAGCCTCCTTCAGTTCATGTAGTACTTGGTTAAAGGCAAGCTTTCAGGATGGGAAATGCTAAGAGCTTCTCTTTTGTCCAAACAGAAGGGAAACTTCATGATTGCATGTGAACTTCAGAAGATCCTCTGTGTGCTCTCTTGCTTGCCTCATGGGCAGTTTTTGTGATGACACCAATATGGAAGCAATATATCCTGCCTGGGTATGAACTGATCATGGAGAGAATTTCAGAAAACACTAAGAGCAGTTCTGGCGAAGGAGAGATTTGTGGACAACAAGCTTGGTCTCCTTAATGGAAAACCAATATGCCTTTCTTCAGCAATTGGTGAGCAGTAGATTAAAAGGCATTAAGCTGCCTCCTTTGCCATTTCAAGTATGCATTCAAATTCAAGACAGCATTTAAAATATTAAAATATCCAGTGAGTTTATTACTAGCTCATTTAAAATGGCGACCATGAAAAATTTAGTTTAAGCTACCCAATAAAGGCTCAGGGGACGCTTAAAAACACACAGAGAGATAACTGAATTTTTAAAGGGAGTTCCTCATTAACTTTTCCCCCTCATCTGTTACCATAGCTATTTTCCAGCTGTATAAACAGTCTGGAGAGTATGCCCTGAATGAATTCACCGTTCAGAAAACAACATAATTACAGCCATTCCAGCAAACCGAGTGCCAAAAAAGTTACAAATTAATTGAAGGTTAGCATTGAAAATTAAATCCTAGTCAGCTTGAAGTCATCTTTTAGGCTCCTTCCTATAGCATTAAGTAGGGAATTCACTCCATATCAGCTCGGTTGACAGAGTTCCAAAGATCAGGTGGACAAATGGCCTTCTAGCCAACTACCACTTTCCTGTGATCTGATATTGCTAATTTCAAGGAAAGCCTGCCAATAGCATCTCACAACATGCTGCCTATGATTTATGCAAGACGTGGGAGCACTTCCTCCTCTCCTCTAAGTGTCTAGTGATTAGTAAAATATCAATCCATCTTGCTCTGAACTATTTTTTCTTTTTATTGTGTTTTTTTCAGACTTGCAAAACATTTGTAAAAATAGTACAAAGGATCCATATATAACCTTTATCCAGATTCCCTAAATGTTAGCATATGTCAAATATTAATTAGTGTTAATAAGATAGTTCAATTATCAAAAACCAGGGAGTTAACTTTAAAATCTAGTCATTATATAATTGACAGTTTATCCAATTTCACCAGTTGTCTCCTGAATGTCCTCTCACTGGTCTAAGATTCCCAATGGTGTTATACCTGGCATTTATCATTTTTCTTTAATTTTCTCTAGTCTGATGGGAGCATCTAAGGAAGTCCTTCACAGTGCCCAGACTGTGGCATGCTCCAAGGAGTCAGAGATAGTATTGGCCTTTTAAACACCCACAATTTAATATGAAATCAAAATAAAACCAAAAGTTAGACATTGGAAAACACACTGAAGTAGCACCTATTTTGGAAAGAAAAGAAATAAACAATATTGTTTAGATTTGAAAAAAAAAATACTTTAATGAAGATGATCTCAACTCAGAGTGTCTTTGCTTCCAAAAAGTAATCATTCATGGCTAAAAGAAACATCTGGAGAATTTATGCACAGCTTTCAGATTGTCTTTGTGGTCAGTGTTTTTTTCCCCATCACTTAAACAATGGATGGTAATCAGCCAGGGTTCAGTATGTCACATATAATAGGGATTTAGGGTCATCTGTGAAGTTTACCTGAGGATTTGGAACAAGAAGGCCCTTTCCTGGTGTCAGTTCTAAATCCCCTGCTGACAGTGAAGAACTCACCAAACCACATATTAAATAAAAGTTCAGAGGCTAATTACCATCTGAGGAACCCTCTCCTTTTGAACTGCTTTGAAACAAAATGTATCAGAATATACTATGAAACACTTGGCAGAGAATCAGAGATTTGAGCTCAAGGTATTTCTGCTACCAACTGTTCTCCATTTATTTCATTTCTTTAGTATAGAATTTCATCACCACAGTTCACTCAAATCCATATTCTGTTGGATTTCTAGACTCTTGGGTTTGAGAGGCCATTGGAGGTTTACAGTCCTGCACACTAGCTGACACATTTAAACACTTAACAGATGTGTAGGGATTTTCAGCTCACCTAAGCTACCTAGCTTTAGGAGAGCCTTCTGCACAAAACCTCAACACCCACCCAGTCTCATTTCACAACCTTGACTTTACAAAGACTGTTACAAGTCCTGACTTCTCCTGTGACTTGTAGTAGTTCAGTTCATTCATACCTTCTGAAAGCATGCTTCTAAAATAACCTGAAGAGGCCCTAGTCTAGTCTTAGGAGGACCAGCTGTCACCCCAGAAAGACTGGCATTGCATAAATATCCACTAGTCACACTGGTTTGTCTCTTGCTGGGCTTTCAAAGCTAATCAACTTGGTCTTTACCAGCTGTGCCACTACCATTTGGCTTCATGTTTCTCATGTCTGAAAGCCTAAGAATGGGGAATCATAAGGGCTTAAATCTATATGTACATATTTTAGACTCCCCTTCATTATATTTGACCTATAGTTTTCAGTAGTGAAGCAAATACATGAGTTCACTTCTTCTTGCCATCGACTAATCAGAAGAATAAGTCATTCTTATCCTTTAGCAAAGCCATCACTTAAAATAATGGACAGACCTGTGACCCACTGTCAGAAATACAAGCATAGTCAATTCTGTAAAACTAAATTTTTCTTTTTACTTTTACCACAAGTTGTCATGAAATTGGGTTCTAATGAACATATCTATCATTCACATCTTACCACTTGTGTTCATCAAGACCATCTAGATTTTATAACATGTGATGCTGAAAGCTTGGTTGACTAGATCTGTAGTAGGACAGGTCCATAGGGTCAAGGAAATTGGCTCAGAACAGTTGCCAAGGCATGCACATAATGTTCTTCTTTATGAGCCAATCTGGAGTCTGCCTGAGGGCCTAGCAACAGGTGCTGTCAGAGTTCCTGGTCACTGTCAGAGTTCCTGATCATGCCTAGCCAATGAGGGATGACCTTGTAATGCTACCAGATTTCAACAGAGACTGGGTGCTGGGAGGGGGGTTATGTAAGGCCTTCCCCATTATTAAATAAACACTTTTGTTGTCTGCCTTCAACTGACTCCCAGTATCTATGCTGTTGATGTCTCGCCTTCTCATCCCCTCCCCTGAGGGAGCCATTAGAATCCAGCAACATAGATCTACATCCTCTTTTTGGTCAGTAACAGAATAGAGAAACCTAGATCAAGAAGTCTTGGTACCAGGTTGGAAAATTCAGGATAGGTTGTGAACATGTCACATGTTCTACTCAGTGGTGTAAGAACTTTATCAGTCAACTAGCCGATCCCACCATCAATAAAGACAGCTGGCTTCCGAGCCAAATTGAAATGCAGCACCCATATTTCCTTCCTGATACAGTCTTTATTAGCTTCTTTTCCAGTGCTGTGATAAAATATCCTGACAAAAACAATGGAGAAAGAATTTATTTTGTCTCATTGTCTCATGGAGATGGAGTCCATCACAGTGACTAAGACACAGCAATGTGCAGGGCCAGTATGGTGGCAGGGGCAGCAAGCTAGCTCATCACATCACATCTGCGCTCAGGAAACAGATGAAGAGAACACAATGGGGCCAGTCTGTCAAATGTCAAAGCCAGCCCTGGTGACATGATTCCTCGAGCAAGGCTCCACCTCCTAAAGATTCCATACCTTGCAAACAGCACCAATATCTGGGGGCCAAACAGGAGTCTATGGGGGACATTTCACATTCAAACCAAAATACTATATTATTATTATTATTATTATTATTATTATTATTATTATTATTACCAATTCTAAGACAAGGCCTGACTATGTAGGCCCTGGATGGCCTGAAACTGTAGCAATCCTCCCACTTCAGCCTTCCAAGTACTCTGCAATGCCCCTCACATTTTATTTCTCTTTTAATTTAAACAGAACATTCTATGCACACAAGTTACACTTATTTTCTAGAACATTCTCTTGGCCATGTGTTTCCCTTTTATATGTATGTATCTCTTCAAAAGAAGGTATAGCTTTCCTTACCAAGAGCCTGTATTGTGGATTTCAGTTCACAAAACTTCAGGAGTCTCTATGAGGTTATATTTACTTCTGACTGTTAAAAATACTAAATTTATTTTTATTTTTCACACTATAAATCATCAATAATCCACTGACATACTACATTATCATTTCATGTCTAAGAATATGCAAATATTGAAAAAATATCTATTGTATGATATATATGATATATGATACATATATACATGTATTCACACTTATATGATATATATATACATATACATATATATACACACAAAATACACAAACACACACACAAGTATGACATTTGCTTACTTATATAATGGACTTTTATTTTTATAAGAAAACCAAAATGAAAATATAAAGCACTCGTGGTACAAATGTGTATGCTCTTTGGAAATAAATTATAAGCACTTCGTGAAAATCACCCAAAGGGTGAAAGTAAGAGATGCTTTAGTTAATTAGTGCTATGGGCTGGACTGAACCAAAAATCTTAGGGCTAATGCTAATGAACTGCCAGCTAATATTGGTAAGATGATTGTAGATTTTTAATTTAAAAGCCCTTTGCCAATGCAAAGTATGGGGATTTCAAATTTCCTGTGTCATCTGGCCCCCTGACAAGGTACCAATTTCAGAAAAGTTGAGCAAAATGGATAGACAGAAAATGTATTCCTTTGTTTTCAATTTCAAAGACTATTTTATTCTCAGAGGTCTATTGAAATTCTGTTTCACTCATTGCTCAGATTGTGGCAAGTAAAAAATATATTGGAGTAAGCAACTAAATCACAAACAGCATGTTACAAGTGTGTGATCCACACTTTTAAAAACAGTCACAGTGAAAGCTGAACCATCCCTTCATCACTATCAGGCTGCTCCTCCAAGAATCCAATGAACGGTTCATCACAGTGATGATTTCTATTTATTTAACACGTACTTCAGGAGCGTCCTTAACCCTCCCTTAACAGTTCACTTTCAGAGTGACCAGATATAACAAGACCCAACATGAACTGCATTCTAAAGAAGGGGAAACTGAGGTACAAATTTAAGCCTTTCTTCATGGCTCAGTGCCATGGTCATGACCCAGGACCTGTCTCCAGCAGGCCTGATACTTCTTCCCTACCCTCTGTCCCCACGCCATAACAGAGAGGTTGGGGAAACAAGTGGCAGAACTTGAACAAGGCCTCAGATGTAACAGGAATTCACACACGTGAGTGAGCTGCTTTGCTTGACATCACCTCACTGAGCCTTCTTTCAAACTTTTCTCTTTGAGACATATTGCTTCCTCCCTTCGCATATTAGGCAGGAGTGGTCCAGAGCTGGGAATGTGAGCGAAACTGTTGGTGTCAGGATGGCTATGATCTCTCATCACATATTTTGATTTACTTTGTCATGTTTGAGTGGGAAGAACCCCTTCCGTGCTTTGCTGCACCAGAACGCGATGCGTTGTTAACCACCTCACAGCCAGTCCGTCCACTTGTTGTACTCTCCTCTGTATAAACATGAATGCTACACTCCATGGGTCTCTAGATGCTTTCTGTGAATCATTTTAAAACCAAGGAGAGAGCTGGAAAGATGGCTTAGTCAGTAAAGTGTTTGCTGAGACAATATGATGGCCTGAGTATGGGTCTGAAGCATCCCACAAAAGAGCTGTGCACAGTGGTGTGAACCCGTAATCCTAGCGCTGTGGAGGCAGACACAGGCATATCTGTGGAACTTGCTGGCCAGCCAACCTAGCTTAATCGGTGAGCTGCAGATTCAGTAAGACTCTATCCCCAAAAGTAAGGTAGATAGTGAGTGAAAAACTGCCCACCTCTGTGGTGGTAATCTAATTGTACTGAAATATTATTTTGATTGTATGTTAATAAATAAAGTTGTCTGGGGGTCAGAGCTATTAGAGCCATAGCAAGAGTGTGGCGGTGGTGGCACACGCCTTTAATCCCATAGATATCTGTGTGTTCAGGGTCAGAGCTATTAGAGCCATAGCAAGAGTGTGGCGGTGGTGGCACACGCCTTTAATCCCATAAGATCTCTGTGTGTTCAGGGATACAGTCAGCATTGGAGACATATGCCTTTAAGACCTAGGGGGCTGTACATTCAGACAGTGACGAGGCAGTCATGTGTTTGGGTTTACAACCAATGAGAAGGCAGAACAACATACTATAAAAAAACGAACCGACAGGAAGTAGGTCTCTTTTCGCGAAGCTGGGACAGCAGGAGGAAGGGTGAGATTTTAGCTCTGAGCTCTGACCTCTCGGCTTTCTCTTTTACATTGTTTCTGTGTTTCTTATTTAATAAGACGGTTGGATACATCAATACACCTCACCTTCAAATGAAAAACCTGACATACCATGATCTCTTCGATATTTTATGTTTCATCCCTTTCTCATCTTAGACACTACCAGCCAAGAAGCATGGGTGACCTACAAAATCCTTTGCCTCTTTTGGAGAAAACCAACAGATATTCAGCTGTGTATATTATTGTATCCTTGGCCACCTGAATTATTGTATCCTTGGCCACCTGACCCAGGAATGGGGCTGAGCCACACTGCCACACCTCAGATGCTTCCTTTCATTTAGCACTGGCTGTCTGCCTGCTGTGCAGTAGAGAGGGCAGAGCCCCAAAGCAGGACTTGGTTTGAACAGGTCAAAAGAATACTCCACAGAGGCTGGTCCTTCTGAGTTATCACTCTGCCTTTTCCTAAAAGATGAAGGATGTGTAGAGGACACATAAAACTTTAGTCAATAAGTCCATTATTATGATTGGCTGAAAACCATAAAATGCATCCATCAAGCCATTGTGTTGCATCTTGTGTTAAATTATGGTGATAAATAGTCCTTTATCCGTGACGTCACCTACTAATCTATTCCAAAAACTATTCACCACCACCATTATGCATCACTCATGTGCCTGCCAGCTTGCTAATAAATAAATAAAAATCTCTACATGATAGAGCAGACAAGGTGGTACTTGACTCTGCAGACACAAATACTGTCTGTTATTTCCATGTCACACTGGGAAACAATTGCTTCTTCAGTTCCCAAAGTTATCTCAAGTGTGCAGTCATGTTCTCAGTGCTCAGCTCTGGGTGTTGTAACTCATGTACTTTTAATTGTTTATAATTTACATTGGAACTGGACGGAGTCCATTTGTACTCATGCTGCTTTGTAAGTATTGCATGACATATTTTTGCCACCTTGCTCTGGGTCGAATTTAATCCTATTGACAAGCCTTTAACATAGAAATTTGGTGTGGAATGCCTTAATATTCTCAGGAGCTATGTAAAAAGACATGTGGCAGTTGTTATCAGTATGTTTGGGATTTAGGTCTGACTTTATATAAAATGTTCTCATACAATTAGGCATTTCTGGAGTTCTTAGAAAATGTTATTTATTAAAATGAAATTAAGAAAAAGTATGTAGACATTTTAAACTCCAGTCTGTATACAAGTATACAATAATATGTTTTAAACACACCCATCAACCATGTACACACACACACACACACACACACACACACACACACACACATTCACACAATACCCTCAGGTATCTCTCACACAAGTATGCATGTATCAGATACATTGTGGTTCTCCTCATCAACAATCAATTGATAAATATAATGACCCTATTTTTTCTACTCAGAATCAGAGGAAATGAGATACAAAGTAAAGCACAGACTGCTCACTGGAATGTCATTCAAAACTGTGAAGCCGAATATGCCTGATTTACTTGTAGCTTTAATTCAAAGAACTGATTCCGCTGAGCAGCACAATGGAGGTGTCACAGCTTTGGCTCTTTCTCTGGTCCCATGTGATG